ATGTTCATCACTGACTAATATGTCAAACATACACCAATTCAGACTGTAAATAGGTTTTTCGATTTTACTTGTCTGAGAGCTTCTTGGAGGTTCAAAACTAAATTGCCCACATCTACATAAACTGTTTCTTTTTTCATCAGAATCGTTAACGGTGAGGAAGTATCTTGAAGGTTTATAACAAAAGATAATATTGGCTTCTCTAACGGCGGTTTCACACGGATTTTTGTCAAGACTGGGCCAAAGCTAGGGCTGCCAGATATCTCTGTTGCCAAACCGGGACACTTTAGGGAGGGCCTCTCGCCCCCTTCTCTTTCATTTCGACGTGCGAAAGGATGTAGTGAAATTTTATTTTGACAGACAAAAACAAAAACATAAAAACATGAGATCATGAGATCATTACAACGTACGCCAACAAAACAAAACAACTTATCACAACTAAAGCCTAGAGAATTTTTCACAATGCATGCAATTTTTTTTTCTTTATAAAAATACAGTTTATACTAAATATATGAAAAAACATAAAAATAATATTGCTAAACTTTGTGCTAAACTCGGAAAAATTTAATAAATTTGCATACAAATTTGCCACATTCTAATCAGACTTTTTAAAAAAAATTTTAAAATGAAGTTTTGGAGCCCATTAAATTTCAGTTGATTTTTGGTATTGTTTTTACTGAGAGTTTCTTCCATACAAACTATGTTCGATAATTCTTTTTATATGGAAGACACTGTCGGCAAAAAAAATAAAATAAATGATAAAAATCAACGAAATTTGCTGGCAACTTCAGACTTGCACTTTATTAATTTGCTCAAAAGCTACATTTTCAAAATTTTTCTAAAAGATCTGATTAGAAATTGTGATCTGATGAAAGAGCCTCCGAGCCAATAATTTTGTACGGCACTGTACTTATAACGTCCCTACACACGAATAAAGGCGCGCTAGTGTTTTGACGGCGAAAAAAGGTGTTTAAAAAAATTTTGCGAAAAAGAGCATTTGAATCGTCTTTTTTCGCCGTCAACTTTTGAGCTCGCGCCTTTATTCGAGTCTAGTGACGATAACTACTCTAGGTTTCATGAAAGAAAAAAATTTAATTAGAAGATAACATTAAAAATCAGTCATATTTTTCGTTGCTGTGAACTGGTTTCAAAACTTCTGCCTTTTCCTTAATATAATTGTAAAACTCTGTGCACGTCATTTTGAACGTATTTAGGTACATATACTAATCATCAACTATTGCTTGTGCAAAGTTCAACTATCTCGAAATGTGACTATTTCACAAATTAAACCGGTGCACTGAGAGAAAGAAGTTTAGAATTAAAAAAGCGTGCTAAATTAAAAAATACGCATATGAAAGAGCACCAACCCAACTCGTAATACATTATAGTATTTAGTATAGAAATATTCAATTCAAATACGACCATATTAAAATGAGGCGATATGCAATTACCGATTGCTTTTTCATAATTAAGTTAAAAAAAATAATTAAATTCCATGCTGGTTGTAATTGGAATCGAACCCTGACCCTCTGGAAATTAGCAAGCATCTTCGCGCACTCAGCTATAGCCAGACATGTAAATGTGCATTTAAATGTTGAGTTTGAATCAACACCACGCGTGCGTGTTATGAAGGTATTATTTTTAAATACGAACATTTTTAAACGACAATCAAATAGGAAATATTCATGTTTACTATGCGTTATTTTCCTCAGTGAATTCATAACATTTTTCGGAATATTACAACGCGTTTTTTCTCTTAGTGTAGTGATTTTTGAACTTTTATTCAAATTTGTGCAATCAAATCAAACACCGGGACACTAAAACGAGACCAGGGACATTTTAAGGTTGGACCGGGACACCGGGACAAATAGTCTAAAACCGGGACATGTCCGGGAAAACCGGGACGTCTGGCAGCCCTAGCCAAAGCCCAATATTTTTTCATCACACGACTGGGCTACTAAGTTACACCAAATTTTGTTACTAATATGTGTTCTAAAAGTGAAACAAATTTGATCATAAATATGATTTTTTAGAATAGCTCTCAATCCCTGCGCCACCTATCGGAAGACAAACACACTGCTCCTTCTAAAAACTTTTGCACAAAACAACAATCATTCAATGCGATTTTAAAATCTGATAGAAAATGGCTCCCAATTGAATGATTCTTCCAATCTTATACATACATATGTGTATAAATTTTCATTACCTTATAATAAGTGGTTCCAGAGATAACCGACTGCATGGGCGGTGCCACAACCTCCTTTTTAAAATCTACCAAATCCTCTCGGAATGTACGGTATTGATTGATTTACGTTAGCTTAAGCGGTTCCAGAGATAAGCGGTATAAGAACTTTAGTTTGTGTGGGCGGTGCCACGCCCTTTTTTTAAATTTACCTCTTTTCGCCGTATTTATGGTATTGACAACATATGTAGCTGTGTGAAATTTTATGACGTTAGCATAAGCGGTTCTAGAGATAAGCGATATGAGAATTTCAGTAGGTATGGGCAGTGCCCCGTCCCCTTTCCAAAATCTACCACTCTTCGTCGTAAGTACGATATTGATATAATAAATATCTGTTTAAAATTTCAGGACGTTAGCATAAGTGGTTCCATAGATAAGCGATATAAGAATTTCAGTTTGTATGGGCGGTGCCACGCCCTCTTTTCCAAAATCTACCACTTTTCGCCGTAATTACGGTATTGCTATGTTGCTGTTTGGGGACGTTAGCATAGGCGGTTTCAGAGAAAAGTAATATGAAAATTTCAGTTTATATGGGAGGTGCCACGCCCCCTTTTCCAAAATCTACCATATTTCCCCATGAGTATGGTATTGACAACGCATGTTGTTGTGTAAAATTTCAGGACGTTAGCATAAGCAGTTCCAGAGATAAGCGATATGAAAATTTCAGTTTTTATGGCAGGGGCCACGCCCCCTTTTCCAAAATCTACCACTTTTCGCCGTAAGTACGGTATTGACAACAAAAGTTGTTGTGTCCACTTTCACGACGTTAGCATAAGTGGTTCCAGAGATAAGCGATATGAGAATTTCAATTTGTATGGGAAGTGCCACGCCCACTTTCCCAGTACCTACAATTTTTCACCGTAAGTAGGGTGTTCACAATCTATGCATCTGTGCTGTGTTCCCCAGCATAATTGGTTTTAGAGATATAGCGGTTTTCACATTTTAGTCTATATATCAGATGTCACGCCACCTATGTATCGCGATCAACATTTATGGATTAGAGGAAGTTATATCCTTTTAACCGGTGTATGTTTCATTGAAATCGAGCGAATGGTGCCTTCAAAAAAGGGATTGAAAAATTTTTTTGTTGCGTATTTATATATAGATAAAAAAATTTACAAGTTAGTAATTTTTAATAATGTTTATTTTACTTAGTTCTTGAATTTAAAAATTGAAAATTAACAAAAAGTAATGAGAATTGCATCGGGGCTGCAAATGTCGGATGTATCCTCCTGGCTTTCATGTTCACTTGAAGAATCTAGCATAATGGTGAGATCGTTGATTAAACATCGCTTACAAACCAAACCAGATGTGTCAGGTTTTTCTGAAGCATTTTTAAAAGAATTCTTCATTCTCATTCCTTTAACAGTTTCAGAATTTGGGGAACTTGTAACGTCATCAGCGTTTTTCGATTTTAGATTTGTAATTCATTTTAATGGGTCTTCTGCGACTGGTTTGAAGAATTTGTGCTTATAGCTAGCTAGATAGGCGGATNTGTTGTTGTGTAAAATTTCAGGACGTTAGCATAAGCAGTTCCAGAGATAAGCGATATGAAAATTTCAGTTTTTATGGCAGGTGCCACGCCCCCTTTTCCAAAATCTACCACTTTTCGCCGTAAGTACGGTATTGACAACAAAAGTTGTTGTGTCCACTTTCACGACGTTAGCATAAGTGGTTCCAGAGATAAGCGATATGAGAATTTCAATTTGTATGGGAAGTGCCACGCCCACTTTCCCAGTACCTACAATTTTTCACCGTAAGTAGGGTGTTCACAATCTATGCATCTGTGCTGTGTTCCCCAGCATAATTGGTTTTAGAGATATAGCGGTTTTCACATTTTAGTCTATATATCAGATGTCACGCCACCTATGTATCGCGATCAACATTTATGGATTAGAGGAAGTTATATCCTTTTAACCGGTGTATGTTTCATTGAAATCGAGCGAATGGTGCCTTCAAAAAAGGGATTGAAAAATTTTTTTGTTGCGTATTTATATATAGATAAAAAAATTTACAAGTTAGTAATTTTTAATAATGTTTATTTTACTTAGTTCTTGAATTTAAAAATTGAAAATTAACAAAAAGTAATGAGAATTGCATCGGGGCTGCAAATGTCGGATGTATCCTCCTGGCTTTCATGTTCACTTGAAGAATCTAGCATAATGGTGAGATCGTTGATTAAACATCGCTTACAAACCAAACCAGATGTGTCAGGTTTTTCTGAAGCATTTTTAAAAGAATTCTTCATTCTCATTCCTTTAACAGTTTCAGAATTTGGGGAACTTGTAACGTCATCAGCGTTTTTCGATTTTAGATTTGTAATTCATTTTAATGGGTCTTCTGCGACTGGTTTGAAGAATTTGTGCTTATAGCTAGCTAGATAGGCGGATATGGAAATTAAATTGTTATTTTCCAGGAATGAAAATTTTCAAAAAAAAAATAGTTTTTAAGATCCTGGCTGCCAGCTGAATCGGATCAGAATATTGTTATTTTTTAAAAAAAGCACCCCGTTTTTTTATAATCATTTGAATTATTGGAATCACGAATGATGAGGGTTTCAGATAGTTACATAATTCTTACCTAATTAAAGGTCGGACCTATAGCTTTTTAAATATTTCAGCATCGATTCTCTTTATAGCTAAATGTTGAAGATTTCTGCTGGAAATCCCTATTGTAGGAGCTTACTCTTTCACTTTAAAGCTTAGAATCCAGCTCTTAAGAAAAGCAAAAACTCCATATAAAATGACGTACAAGAAATGGCTAAGAAATTTTCTTGAGTCAAATTTCCTTAAGGCAGTACGCAGTTCTTCAGAAATTTAGTACGCTTTCTACTACGGTTTTCTAAAGTTTTTTGTGAAAAAAGAGCACAAGGCAACCCAGGTTTGCAACAGAAATATATGCCCGCTCCATTATTTTTTGAGGAAAGAGTGAGGCAACAGGCTGAGGTATAAAAAATGTCAAAATTCCTTGGACACACACGCGAAATAATGGCAATTTTTTCTTGACCGTTTTCTTAAGAGCTGGATACTAAGCTTAAAAAGCAAAGAAGGGAGACGTAGGGGGAGAGTTTTACCACAGAGGCTTTAGGTAAGGATCCAATGTACATATTTATCTATGAAAAAATATTGCCCGACAAGTAAACATTTTGTACTGTTTTTAAAATTGTTTCTTAAAATTGATTCCCCAAAGAGCCACATTTGAAATGATTGTAACGAATATATCGTCACCTGAAATGCAAAAAGACGTAACACACTTTTTTCTTTTATGTCTAGTAGTTTTTTTAAGATTGGTCCAAAAAAATTTTAATAAAGAAAGAAATGCAGGTATTAAAAGAAGAGAAAACAAAAAATATATATTATTAAAATGACTATGTTCTCTTTGACGTACGTCAAAGGTCAAGTGGAAGTGGGAACTTGTATAACTGCTCGATTATATAGCTTAAGAAATAATAAGTTTAAAGACATTTTTATCAAAGTTGATAAATATGACATTTGACCAGTTTTGTTACACAAATACTCCAACGACCACAGGCAAAAAATATTGGCTACAATTTGTCATTTTGTTTGCCAGATATACGTTCTATCGGTGCACTTGCACAACATTCGCATTCGCAAAAGCTCCGCATCGATTATTGCGAGTGCGAATGCGAATGTTAAAATTAATGCGGAAGCTTCGCGGTTGCGAATGCGAATATACGCAACAACCCTGGTATGTACATACATATGCATGTACGTATGTTAAGTTATACATATGTACGTAAGTTAGTTAGCCAGCGCATAGAATTCAAGCGACGCGCATAGGGGTATTTGGCCGATTTAGGCGGCCAAAATTATTTTTACGAAAATTTTAATTCAAAATGTTTAAAAATGACGCGTTACGATATTTAAAAGTGTAAATATTTTCAAGTAAATAGAGGGGGAGGATGTCAAAGTATTCCACCAAAACAACGAAAATACAGTTGCTTAAAGTTTGAAATCGATAGACTCCTTGTTATCGTGCTCCGATTGTAGAAACCTAATACCTACGTGTTCGTATCGGCCAGGAGAAGGTAAACATCTAGGTTAGGACATAAAAGGGATTGCCATTTGCTAAAAAATTAAATGCAATTAAGTTAGATGAATTACTACAATATGGGTATCAATCGAAATGGTTTTGAAAAGGCTTTATTTCTAAACAACATGTGGTAGGATTACCATCTGTTTAAAAATTCATCTTTAATTCCAAGGAACTGGGTGACTGAAATATGTATGTATGTATAACAATATGGGTGTCAGACGAAGAAGTTTAATAAGGCCACCTGTTTAAAAATTAAATCCAATGCTTACAATAGGTTAAAGTAATGATAAAAATATGTATATCATATACACATATGTAGGTTGGAACATGAGATGGTTTGCAACCTGTTAAAAAATGTAATTAAATTAAATTCAATGAATTACTACGCTATGGGTATCATGGCTTTGAAAGACTTAATTTTCAACTACATTTAGCATAACATATGATTGCAAAAAACATTATATGAAATAATTTGCACCTAATATAACACGCACAAATTTCATACATTCATCGAACTAACTATAGTATACAGTAGTTTATTTTATTTTAAATGTCTTTAATTCTAATTTTTTAGTGCATCTTTTGTGCCTGCTTAGAATTAATAATTATAAATAATTTCGAATGCTTGGCAACTTTGTACGAATATCTCCAGATACCCTTAAAATTAAAAACATTATCTGAATAAGAAATTCCATCAAAATCGCTAGAGCCGAGAAAACTATGGATATATACATATGTATACATACAAATTGACAAGATTTGGTTGTTTAAAGAAATGAGATACATACATATATGTGGTTTAAGAAAAAATCATTACAACTTTATTGCCTTAAAAACTTATTTTAAAATTTTGAATCGAACTTACCGTTAAGCGGAGAATTTGTTTCTAAATGTAATGACAATTATTTTCTTCATGTAATTCTCCAAATTTTTAAATTCAACCCATCCTCCCCCATCGCCCCCTTAACGTTGTTGGGCGTCTTAACTTTCCTATTTCTATGTCTTTTCTAAATTGCTTGTGAAATTAGTTTGGACCATGAGAGAACAGTTACATTTGTGGCAATTCAACCAGTAAATAAAATTATTGAATTAATTCACGAGAGTTTAATAAAATACACACCAGAAGATTACAATAAAATTCCGATGATTTTATGAAGGATTCACTTCTACCGGGTGTGCACAGCACACATATGTTTGTCTTTTTCTTTTTTTGTTAAGTGCCGAGTAGTGGAAACAAGAGTTTGAAGAAGAAAAAGAGAGATAATTATGTATCTACATTCTAGAATGTTTCAAGAAAACAATGTCAATTTGAGAAATGAAACATGATTAAAACAGTGTTACCAGATTCTACATACAAGTATATCTCAGACTAAATTTTAATAGCTAATAGTAGGGTGACTAACTTTTTTTCCGCCACATCTACTCCCCCTTCAGATTCATCGTTAGATGAAGTCGGCGAAACGTTTCGGAAAATTCACCCTTCATCCAANACAATGTCAATTTGAGAAATGAAACATGATTAAAACAGTGTTACCAGATTCTACATACAAGTATATCTCAGACTAAATTTTAATAGCTAATAGTAGGGTGACTAACTTTTTTTCCGCCACATCTACTCCCCCTTCAGATTCATCGTTAGATGAAGTCGGCGAAACGTTTCGGAAAATTCACCCTTCATCCAACTCGCGTTGCAGTTGTAACCTTTTCTTCTTTTGATGATTCTGATGTGGGTTTAAGAATGCTTCTCTGTGTCGGCACTCGTCGCTGAACTGGTTGTTGTACTGCAGTTTGTGTTTGATCGCTTGTTCCGTTGTCATCTTCGGTGACGTGTGCGGACTTGAGTCTGTCTATGCTAATTCTCGCGACTCTATTCTTCATCTCTAGATCGTAGTACTTATCGAAACGGCGAACGACTTTGAAGGGACCGTCGTACTGCTGCTTGAGCGGTGGTCTTACAGAGTCATCCCTAACGAAAACATGCGTGCAGTTGTTGATATCTCGCTGCACAAAAACTTTGTTCGCAGCATGGTTCGATGTTGAAACTGGTTTAAGATTCGTCATTACATTTTTTAAATTGTCAATAAATTCATCGCCTGTGCCTTCGCCCGTGTTGTTGGTGAAAAACTGTCCGGGCAACTTTAAATTTTCGCCGTATACCATTTCTGCTGGCGTCGCTCCCAAATCTTCTTTATAAGTTGTACGAAGTCCTAATAACGCTATGGGAAGGCAGCTGATCCAATTTCTATCGGTGTGACACTTGATTGCTGTCTTTAGCGTCCTATGCATGCGCTCAATCAGACCATTCGCTTGAGGATGGTACGCAGTTGACCTAAAGTGCTTAGCGCCAACCAGGTTCGTCAACTCTTTGAATAACCTCGATTCAAATTGTTTACCCTGGTCGGTGGTAATGGCAGCCGGCACACCAAAGTGCGCTATCCATCCGTGTAACAGTGCTTTGGCAACAGCTTCAGCCGTAACGTCTTGCATGGGTATTGCGGCAGGCCATCGATAAAATCGATCGATGCAGGTTAAACAATACTTATACCCTTCTGACAGTGGTAACGGTCCAATAATATCAATGTTGATGAGCCGAAATCGTTTCGAGGGCACTGCAAGGTTGTCTAGTGCTGTGCGATTGTGCTTCCAGGTCTTTGATTTTTGCCACTGCAGGCATGAAGATACCATGTTTCTAATCTGTCGTTTCATACGCGGCCATACAAAGCGCTCTGTCACCAATCGAATCGTCGACCTCTTTCCCGGATGACTAATGTTGTGAACCGACTCGAAGGCTTGTTTACGAAACTTTTCCGACACGTACGGGCGCACGTTTTTGGTTGATACGTCGCATATGACCGTTAAATTAGTGCCTGGTATTTTTATCGGCTGGAGTTGAAGTGAAGTGTTTCTCATGAGTTGTTGAAGTTCCACGTCGTTTACTTGCTCTCGGGCTAGGTGTTGAAAATTAATTTGTTCGCCACTGAAGATTGACTCTACGCGAGACAACAGATCCGCCACAACGTGGGCTTTTCCGGACACATGTCGTATGTCGGTGGTGAGTTCGCTGATGAAGCTAAGATACCGCGTCTGTCTCGGGGTAGTTTTGTCGGGCTTCTGCTGAAAAGCAAATGTGAGTGGTTTATGGTCGGTTAGTATCGTGCACTGACAGCCGTCGATAAGGTATTGAAAATACTTGACGGACAGGTACATGGCGAGCAACTCCCGATCGTACGTACTTCGCCTTTTTTGCGTTTCTGACATGCGTTTTGAGAAAAAACCTAATGGGTACAACGCACCAACACGCAATCACGTTTGCATTGTTAAAATGCTTCTCTCGCCTCATCATTACAACTGATAGGCGTTTGATCTCGCTTTTTGTTCCCTTTTATCAACTTGAGGAGGTCACCCTGTGACAATGCAGCGTTGGGCAGCGAGCGACGATAAAAATTGAGCATAGCCACAAACTGTCTCAATTCGTGAGCTACAGTGGGCATTTTGAAATTGGCGATGGCTTCGACCTTGTCAGCTGGTGAAGCAATGCCATTTTTCGTCACTTTGTAACCTAGAAAATTTACTTCTGGCTTTGCGAAATGGCATTTAGAAANCGTTTATTTTTAGGTTGTTATCACGTAGCCGCTGAAGCACTTTGCGCAAGTGAGTCGCATGTTCTTCCTCTGACGCTGAGGCAATGCAAATGTCATCTATATAAACGACAACGT